TGTTTGCTGCTGGTGGGATGCTCTCCAAAGTGCTACTGTGGATGGTATATGAGGTCTGCTTTAAAAAATGCATTCTGGGCTGCAGGGGATTTTTATGATGCAACTCTGCAATGACTATTCCTTCTGTAGATGTCTGTGTGTCCTGTGGGGTGAAAATGAATTTTTATTGTGTTCTGTGGTTCTTGTAAACATGGAGGTGTTCAGTAAAAGCTGTAAATATATTAAGCCTTTTTTTTTTTTGCTGTTCTTCAAACCCCCCTACAAGTAAACAGACTCCCAGCTTTACAACTGAGTAACAAGTTTACTTAACTGCTGCAACTTTGCATTAAAATGCCACCTCACTGCCTGCTGCTGGCACCATGAGCTGTTCAGAACCAGCAGGTCCATTACAGTCCACCAGATCTATTCCCTTATTCTGCTAACTCTAAATGCTTCACACTAGCAAAGCTCACCAGAAGCTCTGCTGTGTTGCTGCAAGAGTGAACACAATAGTCTTCATGCACTGCCAGCATCTGAGGAACTGAAGATACTTTTTTTGCTGATGGCAGCAGCACAGGAAATCCTTAGTGTTAGCACACTGAGCAGCTAATGTGGCTAACCTTATGTATTGTGGCGAATGAAGGCATTTGGCAGCTCTACATGCCACAGTAGGCTAAGACGTGAGGGTTTAAACAGTGATGACGCGCAGACCAAACATTTGCATACGTCACGGACATTTATTGTGGAGATCGCCAGCTGAATAACAGACTTGCACTTACTTTGGTGACGGCTCAGTGCAGTTTAGTTACCTGATCGACAGTGCAGATTTTGTTGAATATTTGGAGGATGCGGTCAACAGAAAGTTTCCCCCCAAGCTCACCCTACACCATGCTGCTGGCCCGACACACACACACAGACTAAGGTGAGCACACACTAAAACCACTCCCACCTCCAATCACCGTGGTGCTGAATGCACGTTTGCAAAGCGCATGCACACACACACACACACACACACACACACACAGAGACCATTCACAAAACCCTGGGAAACCCACTTGCCCCCCTGTATGGCTCCTACATTATGTTTAGACTGTATGTCCACAAGTGTAAACTGTAAAGCTGGTGACCTTCAGAGAGGGTGAAAACCCTGAGACTGACATAGAGCCAATAAACAAGGACTGGGTGTGTTTTCAAGTTGCTGGTTGTGCTTCAGTGCAACCTAAACCCAGCCAGGGTTTCTGCTCTTTGTATTCACACATACTGTCTGTAAACAGCTGAATTCAAATATGATTCTTATTCACATATTTTCTCTTTCCTCCTCCACAGAACTATTTATTATTGACTGTAATGCAAACTCACTATGCTGTGAATTCAGCCACATTTCCACATAAAATGATTTCACGCTCATCTCAGTGTTGGCTGCTGTGTGGTCAGCTGTGCTGTCAATCAGACGCAGAGAGAGTCTTCTTCCTGAAGGGGGCAGTAGCATTTAAAACAGCCTGTTTGGATCAGAGCTAAAACCAGAGGTTACACAGTCACGGTGAAATGAACCATGTTAAAAGACACATTCTGGGGACGTGTGACACTTTAATTAATTTGCTGAAAGGGGGCACAGTATGTGACCTTTAATATATCTATGGTGCAGCCTCACACAGTCTGGAGCAGGCCTGCTGCGTCTTAGTCTCATTATTTTTTTTGCATGAATGTGCTTAGTGTTTGCACCATGTCAACAGGAATGATTAAAAGGGCATATCTGTGCAGTGAAACTGAGATTTTTTACAGTCACTGTGTCAAAACCCAGAAAAACAAATCTAAGAATGTTCTTATGCTCCTGCTCAAGTAACAGAAACCATTTCTGGATGTAAGTGTGGGCAGGTGGTTGTACATTTTGTGGGAGGAAGTGTACATGAGCATGAAGGACAATTTAGCTCGACAGTTAAAGCATCTATCTCTAATTTGGATCTCCCCCGGTGAGTTAAGTAGGGATGCTCAAGATAACAGCACCAAGGGCTCATTAACGTCACTTCAGACATTTCAGAGGAGGCTCTCTCTCCGAGCCTACGTTCTCCTGTCTCGAAGAGACTAAAGACACATGCAGGGCCGTTCAGGCACACTGACCCGTACGCTGACCCAAACACTCACACACACGGTGCCACACACGTGCACGCGCACTCTGCAGTGGCCTGATAAGCCTCACGCCTCACCAACTGGCCCCTGCAAATGTCAGGCTGAAGCCATCTCCGTTTGCTGATAGGGAGTGGGTGGGAGTGAATGAATCAAAAATTTCCTTCAGTTGCATACGCCGAAGATTACCTAAATTAAAACAAGTCTGCAGTAGAGACATAATCTTTCAAATCCCTCGACTTATACATGATGAAAGGAGGTACAGTAAAAAAAAAATCACAAAATATCCCCACAGCCGAGTCCAAGAGACGAAGCTTACGTCAACAAAAAGCGGCTTACAGCACTTCTCAGGGGAATACTTATCTTTAAACCCTGGACCTGCTTAAAGCCGGGAAGGACATGAGATGAAATGTGAGTCAAAGGTTCAAATGTTACTGTCCAGATGCTGTTTCATCACAAATTCAAACACCGGCTCTGGTGCGTCCTGTTGGGTGGCATGTTCAGCCGAAGTCACCGTCAAAAGCAAACAGCCCTGCGGACGGTTGGTGGTGCTTACACAAGCACAATAGCTTGAGCGAGGATCACCCAGTTTTGCAGGACGACGCCTGCCAAGAGACTTTCTCCACGTTTTACACAGAGGTTTCCGGAGACGGTTTAGGGCTTACCGCTGCTGCCAGTGTGACTCTGACCTCAATAGACGTCTCAAAAAGGGATAGTTGGATGGCATCTGTGCAATATGATGCAATAATGAGCATTATCTGCCAACATGAGGCCATCACCAGCACTTTGTGTTCTGGGAGAAGGCATATGTTTTAATGCTGTCGGAGCTCTGGATTAATGCTGTCTTTTATGTAAGAATTCTCTCATTGCATTTGTGCGTCTTAAGACTCGGGGACACGTACAGATGTTGCAGACTCTCAGGCCACGTTCAGTCCTGATGGTTTCAGCCGTGAAAGCTGTTTCCTGCAGACCAGGGGCGTTTGTCTTTGACGTTGTGACATGAAGTCTCTAATTTGAAGATGTGCTCATCCACCCCGCAAGCAGGAAGCAGCCTGTGCTAGTGCTCGACTGCCCCGTGGCTCGGGTGACCTCTGCTTATGCACGGACCCTCAGCCTTGATTGTGTCTGGAGGAATCGCGCTTCAGACAAGCTTAAGTTTAGGGCCAGAGGGCTTCCTGGCTTTTACCGGATGCAGCAGTTAAACGGACAACAGGATGCTCTCACACTACGCAGCGTGGCAGCCTAACCTCTTTCTGTCACTTGATTCAGATTTACACCATCGTACCAATTCACAGCTCACAACTAAATGCAAGATTTAATTGGGCTAACGTGGCGTTTTGGCGAGAGATAACACTTTAGTGACATTTGCTTGTATTAGCTGTAGTAGCTAAAGGTAGATCTGGTGATGTTTTCCATACTTGCATCCTCATAACTTCGACACTCTTAACTTTGTGTTTCAAACTAAATAGGACAGTTTTGTGGCCCAAGTCAGAGGTGAATTGTGTTCAAAGATTTTGATAATATCAAAGTGACCGTTAAGGAAACAGAAAAAAAAATCCACTGGTTATTACAGTTCAGGCCTGGAGGCTATCTCCGTGTCCCTGACACTTGTCGCAGTCACAGCGGAGCCCATTTGCCCTGGATTACTTTGCGGCACTGATCTAAGCTCTGTCATGATATGTTCTAACACCCGTCGCCTGACTTTTCTCCTTCGATATCTCAGCGTCTCCACGGCCATTAAGAGGAAAAAAAAACCACATCGCTCCTTTGATTGTGAAACACAATCATCTCCCGCTTCATTTGACATTTAACACAGCTGTGTGATCATCTCTGCGCTGATTGCCTCTCGCTGTGTGGCTCTCTTGTGTGTAACATTTGGATGACTAAAGGCCGGTTTTCGCTGGAAAATGAGAGAACAGCTGATCAAGAACTAGATGAGGTGAGCGACATTAACCGCGTAATATGTGAGGAAATGCAAAAAAAACCACAAGTTTTTAATGAAAAATCATGGACATTAAAAGTAAACGCAACAAATGCTCCCTAAGCCCACAAGCAGCTTTTTAAGCTTGGTTTAAAATCACTATTTATCATTTGTGGAAACACACAGAACATTTCAACAGGTGTTGCATGCACAAATTAAATAAATAGATCTTTACAAATGAGCACGTTAACCATTACATGATGGAATTGTACAACTACCTATCAACAGTTATATTATCTCCATGGACACCAATAGGATGTACGGTGTGTGCACCACTCTGACTGTGTTCTGACATCAAGATTCAATATCAAATTTACAGTTTATACACTAACAATATAATGGGCTGGTGTGACATGATTTTCCAAACTGAGACACGTTACATTTTGTGACACCATTCAAACATCATAATCTCATTTTGGCGTCCGGACAAATTAGCCTTTCTTGTGACAAAATATAATTCCTCAGTCACTGATGCACAACATCATACAGACAGCATGAGAGAAACATCTCAACATAAATCTAAACAGCACATTTACAAACACCGCAGTCGGGATTTCCGGACTTAAATTAGAAATGACAGCTCAAAAAATGATGGTGAGGCTTTTGCACTGTCAAAATTGTTACTGCACCTCGGCATGACACATGGCAGTGAGTGACACTGGTACGTTGCGTGTGTCCATCAGAATAGCAGCATAGGCATCCTGCATACAGCGGAACGTATGGATGAGGAGGCAGTTACCGATAACCACAGAACCACAGTCTGAATCACCGTATTAGGGAGGATCTTTAACAATTTGACTGTGGATCAGTAGCTGTGGGCAACTTAAACCTCACTGCAAGAGCCAAGTGAAAGTCAGAAAGTGAAAGTCTGCTGGCTGGGACCTCTTCACCTCTGAGCCCATGTCCTGTCCAGCCTTCAGTCAGCATAGAGGATGAACCCTGAAAAGGTGCTGTATTTGTTGCTGTTGCCTCCGTGAGCTTTGCCCCCATCCAATTTTATGAAAACCTCATCGCCTGCATCCAAATGAAGTATGACACTGTTGCTGGCGTAGTCATAACTCTGGTCCTGGTCCTGGGCGATGGCGCTGGCCCTGACCTGGAATATGACACGCACACACAGCCGAGCAGAGAGGAGGGTAAGAACATGGACTCTGAAGAAAAGATTTACAACGAAGAACTGTTAGAATGCTTTACTTAACCAACAAATATTAGAAAAATTAATGCATGTATCATCATAAAATGCAAGTTAATTGAACTATTATTGTTATTATTATCAATAACAAGATGATACAACCTGATGATGCTGAAACAAATGCTGTTTCACTGCCTGACATGTGACCACACTGATCTGCAATGTGGCTCAAAAACATCTTATTTTAACAAAAGAAGTGTGGACTGAATTTGGAAGTTTGTGTAAGCGTGTCCCCTGTGGTGAATATCTTGTTTTTCTCTCATGACTCAATGGAAAGGGTCAGGCTTGAGTCAGTCTGCCTCTGAGGAAAGATGGGAGAGCACATTATCCCTCTGCCTCGTGTTTTCTACTCTCACATCCACCTTTCTCTGGGTGGAGCGCCGAAAATGTCATGTTTTCCCTGAATGTAAGCGTCATTGTGTCAACACGGGGTAATTACGGAGGGTGTTAGATGTGGAGCATCACACCCGGATCGCTTTACACGTACAAAGTGAAAGTTCCCTTTGCGTGTACACTTTGCTACTGAAGGGCATTTCCCTTCGAAGCTGTGAGCTAATGTGCGATGATCTGGGTTGCCAGGTTGGCTGTCACGCTCCAACTTCACCGGACCACGCATGAAAATGCAATCCTCGCTTCAGCCGGATTCTGGAGACAAGTTTGAAGCTGCAGCGAAATAAGAATGAGGAGTTGTTGTTGGTGCCGGTGCAATACAAAAGTGTGTGTCAAGAGGTCTGGGTGTCTGAGAAGAAAGGTTAAGTGACAGATGATAGATTTCTGAGAGCAATGCAGCTGAAACTCTCCCCCCGTTCCACATTCTGTTCTAGTCCAGCAGCACAGTGTCCACGGCTGGCATATAAACACTGACTGACAATTTAATTTACAGTCATTTAGGATCCTACTTAGCAAAGTGGCTAAAAGTGGCTAAAGTGGCCTGACATTAGTTTTCCCTCTGTGGCTGGAGTGCCCCCGTGTACCAAATAAATACAGCATAATAATTATATTGTAATATGAAAAGGCCTGTCAAGGTCCAGTTCAATGAGCAATCAAGTCATCGTGTCATTCTCGGCACCACTAATTTCTCTGTCTCCTTCCTTTTTCGTGTGTGTAAGTGTCCATTTTAAGTTTTTTAAAAAGGTAAGTTTTATTTTATTGAAACTAATTTATTCAGCAGTCGTAGTTTGTGTACCAGAAGCCAAGTTTACTCATCACTTCGATCCTGATTAATCACAATGCATTTAAACAGAAACTGTGTTTGTGTGTTGTAATGGTTAGAGAATACCTTTATATAAATCTATATTTAGATCTGTGGATTAATTCATGCCTGACTTTTTTCATAAAGCTTCAGTTGATGACGAGCTGTTCACAGGTTACGGTTTATCTGTAAAACGTGTGAGACTTTATTTCTCCCTTCTGAAGAGAGCAGCGACGTTTTGAAGAATAGCCTTTTAGTCAGTTGGACGAATTTGGCCTCAAGGCCTTTAAGTCACGATACGTTTCATTTAAAGATAAAGTATGAGCGGATAAATCTACTTTCTATGAGAAGGAGTGAAAAGTATGTTTGTTAAGGAGTGCTGTCCTTCTGTTGAACTCCTGCACCTTAAAATCTTTGCCCATCACTGTAGACGACGCGTATCTACAAACAGGCACGCCATCAGGTTCACAATAACAACACATGTTGGGACGCGGGCAACAAACCAGAGCCTGTCTCATGTAGCAGCTACATCTGTGAAACTCAAAATGTCTGTTTGTGTGGAAACTGTGTCCACAAGATGGTCTTAGATGTGGTTTTGCTGTCTTGGTTTTGCAGCGTAGGCATTTAGTTCCTCAGGGATAAAATTAGCGAAACACCTTTCAGTGTGATGAATCCAGTATGACAGCTAAATGTGTTTAGTGTAGTGTATCCTGTGCACACCATATGCTGTCCTCGTAAGACCAAATACGTACAACTTACAGTTCTATCAAACAGTCTTTACAGAATAGATTTGTGTTAGAGTCACAAATACGGCATGTGTTGTACTGGATTGCATTATGTTATCCAGGTGTTTCTGTTATTGTGTCCACCCTCTGTGCAGCCTGTTGCAGTCTGGCTGAGATGTTTGCAGAAAAGTGCTGGAGCTCAGATTTACATGGTGTTTGATCAGTGTCATCACCTGGGGCCTTAAAGACATTACAAAATGATCCATGAATATAGCAAATATCACGATTTGATATTGAAACGCTTTGGCCTGACAGGCGGTCTGATAACACATACCAGCACATCACGGTTCCATGAAGTTTGTTGTATTTCAAAGGGCACCAGCTTTGAACTAGCCACTACCCCAGGCTGTGTTTGGATGTGTGCAGAGTGGAGATAGCGCTGCTCTCCTTCCACTCACTTCAACGTGTACATCATCGGATGTGTAATATGCACAGATACACTGTCTGGCAGCGTGCCACTGTGCATTGTCATTACGCTGAACTACAGCACTGGACCAGGTCAGCGCTAAAAATCACGACACACATGAATGCATGACTACTCAATTTAGACAAGCACTACACGGCTTACGCTGCTCCCTGAGCATCCTGATGTGGGTTCATCCCAGTGTGTGATTCAGGATTCATAATGTCTTAAACAGATCATTTTCATCTGCTTGTATTTTGTTCTTTTATCATTTCTTAGATTCATTCCATTGTGTCTTTAAACATTAAGAATTAAAGGTGTATTAAAAGTGTTACCCACCAGACCGTTTTTTATCAGGTCAGCCCACATGCTGGTGCCGTCTCCTCCCCTCATCAGCACGTTGTAGATGAAAAAGTAGGTGCCAGGGATCTTACAGGTGAACTTGCCCGTCGCGCCCTCATAGTTACCACCAATGTTAGTCACCACGTCGTCGAACCGTAGTATATCGTAACCTTCTTGAGGGTTTCGTAGTCCTGCGTAAAACGCCACCCGAGGAGTGGTGTTGTAAGTAGTTGTGCTAACTGCCCCCTTACCCCCTAAACCGAGAATCCCCGTCCGTACGATGTCCACACTGTCTCCAGGTGGTCCCTTAGGTCCTGGGGGGCCAGGCTCTCCAGGTGGTCCCGGGGGTCCGGGCTTGCCCGGGCGTCCCGGTTTGCCTTGTGGGCCGTGAGCGCTGTACGTGGGCAGCGGTGGGCCGATGCTGTGATCACTCAGGTCTGAATCGTTGTCCACCTGCAGGCCCATGGTCGCTGTGTCGGTGCCGGCGTGCACACCTGCGCCCGTGGTGCCCGTGCTGGGGAAGGGGTCGCAAACCATGCGGCAGGTACCCAGCATCTCAAAGTGGCTCCCGCTGTCGTCCGAGCCGCCTGTGCCAACGGAGCTGACCAGCACAGGGATGAGGACCACCAGGACGAGGACCAGCATGACCCCCACAGCAGCTGCCACCAGGGTCTTCCGCCCGATGCTCAGCCGGGGAAGGGGCTGCGCTGCCAGCGTGGAACTCTCCGGGGTGGAAATGGTGACTGTGGGGAGTGCGTCCACCTGGCAAAACGCAGACTCGATTAAGGATCTCCGATGGTGGAGATGGTGCCCAGGGAGAGCTGGTATGAGTGTGTGAGTGAGTGACAGAGCTGTGTAGGAGTAAAGAGAGAGGGAGTGGAGCAAAGGGACCAAAGTGATCAAAAGGAGAGAGAGATTGAGAGAGTGAGGAGAGAGAGGAGAGGAGGAGGAGGAGGAGGAGGAGGGAGAGAGTAAGACAGCTCGAGAGGAAAAAAAAAAAGAAAAGAAGCAAGGGGAGGAGAGAGTGAGCAACATGCACTCGCTAACCATCTGAGTCAGGGCTGAGGAGGGCACTTTCCTGCTGGCAGATGTGTAAAGCCAAGGAAGACGTGAAGGAGGAGGATATATAGAGCACAGAGGAGGAGAGCACAATCTAACGTCTCACATCCGCTGAATGATAAAGATAGAAATGGTGAAAGGAGAGAAAGGAAAGTTTGCTTGGATGAAAAGTAATGAACATTTTTACTACTGAGATTTCTGTACAGCATTCCTGTAATTCATAAGAAACAGCTGGCATTGTTTTGTGCACTAACTTTTGAGTCTGAGATGACCAAATTGGAGACATCTACAGCAGCCAGGTACAGATAAAGACTGACTGAGATGTAGTTTTCTTACACATCTATCAAAGTCAGGATGTGTATATTTTCACGATCTGCCTGGAACGGTTCCAGTTGGGAATGATTCCAACATCTGTGGTCAGTCAAGCTGTGACCTTCACCAAACTGGCGAACTTTTAAAGAGAGAGTTCAGGTTTTGTTAGTGACATTCTGCTCTATCGGAGGATGGGTCAGCGTGGCAATGAAACCGATCGCAACCAATTTCTGCACCACGTCTGAAATAACAAGTGAGCATTTTTGTACCCAAACTGGTGATTCAGCAGCACCTTTCTGGTTCACAGAATTCCTCCTCGCTGCAGTTTGGCTTGTTATAGCCGGACAAACACCAGGTGTGTCTAACAGGAGCAGTATTACTGTTTCTCTGTAAACATAGTACTGACGTATTATATAGTTTAAATGGCAAACACAAACTAAACGGTCGCCTGTTTTCACATCCAGCAGACATTCATTTGGAGTTGTGTTTCTGTCGGCACAACAAATCTAAGTCCAATATTCCCTCCTCTTTCAACTCTGTTCACTCCACCAAACCACGAGGGAAATAGCTGCTCAATGCTCCACATATGTTCACCAGCGCAACGCCAGCTTTTGTCTGCTCGCCATTTGCCATTTGACCCATTGTTATTGTAAAAAAATATATTTTTAGTGCAGCTTTGAGAGTCACAGTGAGCCACATCGACGAGCCTGGATTCATAAGACGGAGGTCCTGGAACTGGCACACCTCAACAGTATGCAGCTGCTATAAATATCATTAATTACACTTTCCCCTGCCATGGTGTCAAAACGATAGCTGTGAGAAGCTCCTATTAAAATACCACCTGCAAAAACAACAGCAACAGCAGAAGGTCTAACAAAACAGGTAAAGGGTGTGTAAGGATCACCTCCACTCTAACTTCCTTCTCTACCAGTCGGAGAAGAGCTGCTAATTATTCTGGTGAATTATAAAGATTGATGCTTGGATATGACACTTCAGAGGGAGTTTTATGTAGGTTTTGCTTATAGTTTGCCTCAAGTTAATGCTTTTATCCTGCTTTACGGCAAATAACTAGTAAAGGGTGATTTTGTTCTGGCTTTAGGGATGCAGACATGTTGTTTTTCACATAATCTGTTGACATAATTATATTTGGATATTGTTGCTTGCAGGGAAAACTCAAAAGTGCTTCAGCTGCTTTTAAGGCACATTATAGATGGACTATATTGTGATATAGCATCCTAATATTTCTGGAAAATCAGTTTATGGATAAAACAGCTGAACAGAAAAGCCCTTATTTTGTGAAATCTTGCAAATTAGATTCTGCACAAATAAAAGCATCTCATCACATTCAGGCAAATTCTAGGTATCATGTCAAATTCAAGAGTTTTGCTTCCTGGTTTCCCCAAAACATGGCTAAAACAGAGACGCCTCATAGAAACAACATGTCGAAGCCTCTAACTGCAGCCAGCACAGATAACATATTGTCTGTAACGTGATATCACCTGTCTGCTGAGAAATGTACGTATGTGTCAGCTACCTTTACTGCTCAGAGGATTTCAGGTTACGTTACATAATGGTTATTAATAGGTGTTGTGCTTCGTATGTAATGCTTTGTGCTTGTTGGAAGTGATTCATCTGAAAGTTTCAGATGCAGTTTTTATATGCACAGAATATTTATTTTAAAAGATCCTGTTTCCACTGATCATAAGAAACACAAGATACACACTATGTCTGCGACATCGAGCAGGATTTTTCCATTTGTGGCAGCTGTGAAGCCAAAAGAGCAGCATGTCAGATTTTTATATGAAACATACAATATCTTCAAGTGTGAACTCCACATAGCAAACCTTCTCCTCTCAGAAGATGCCTCCTCTCCATCTCACTGTTTAACCGACAGATGCAACCGCAAAACAAGTCACGCATTGAAGAAAGCGCTCCTGTGGTTTTGGGTTTTTTAACTGAAAATGCTAGAACTGATGGGCTATTAAATTTCCATGAGAGTGGTATAAGCAGAGTTTCTGTGAGTCCTCTGCACAGTTTTGATGCCGCTGTTGTCACAGGACATGACAATGGGACTGAGTCAGACACCTCAAGCAGTGCTTTCTTGCTGAGTCTCTCCAGCTGATGACACAATACACTAAATCAGAGAGATGGCCACACACTCAGTGCTCTTTAACCTTCTTGGATCCCTTATTATCAAACATATTCTAATTATCATACTGTATGTATGATTTTGCTGTTTGATATTTCACATATAAAAAGCTACGTTGTTGTTACACATGCACGGCAAAAACCAACTGACCAAAACAGAAAAATTAGCCTCTTGCACTGCTAAAAATCACAAACACCCGACTGCAGTAGCCAAAAATATAAGGTGACTGAGTGACAACACCAGGTTTTGAAGTGCAAGCACCTGCCTGGAGCCTTTATTCAGCAGCGAGTCCATACACATCCATGTAAATAAGACACATCTTTAAACATTTTTACATTTCAAAACTAGAAAATTCCATCAGTGTGTGAAAATGTGCAGCCTTCCCTGTGACGTGCTTTACAGCTACTGCTCTATTTGCAGACTTTAGTGCCCTCATGTGGTCCTTAAACATATCACAAAGTGTGTCACCTCCACACATTTCATTAGCTACCGTATGTTCTGTGTAGATGCACAGTTCAGGCACAGCTTGTCTCTGAATATTAACACACACACCTGCAAACCTGACACGCTGGGGTTCAGCAGGTAGCCTTCACCTTCATACTTTAGGGTGTTATAATGCATAGATTTAATGTTAGCATTGGATGTAAAGGACAGCTGAGAACAAAAATGCTGGACAGACGACGGTGATGATGACATTGGAAGAGAAGTCAGGAGTTTAAGCTCCTGCAATCCAACCTGAGGTGGACCAGCATCTCGTACAGATGGTATTCAAACGATGGCCTCTGGAGAGTGGATAATAGGCGCTTGTTAACATTTACTTGGCGGCAGATCTCATTAAAGGTTGGATGCAAAAGGTCAGCTAAAGTGTGGCTGCTTATAATGTAACTGTGTCGTCGAACTTTGCCAGTAGTGGTTGCTACCAGCAACAAAACTAAAAACATTAATTAAGATCCCATTTTCAGGCTGAGACTTGTTTTTGCAAATCAAATCAAAAACATGACTTTCCATCACAACCCACGACTTCCAGATGTGTTGCAGCAAAACCTTGATCTGTTTCCAATCAATGAAAAAAATCGTTCCAAATGTTGATAACTGACTGTTTTTTTATTGATCTGACTACATAATAAATATTCTTCTATTCCTTGACAATGTTCAGTTCAAAACAGACATTAGTGCTCTGAGGCAGGTATGTCTGGTACATTTTTTATGAAAAGCAGATATGAAAAGCAGGTTTCTTAAATCTTCCAATCTTTTCTCGTTGTTGCTCATTACAAGAATAGTTCTTTTCTTATGATTCGGTCTTTTGTTCTTGAGCTCAAAAGCTTTGCCCGGTTTAAAAATAGCAGTGGTTAACAAACAAAAAGATACCCAGCTACATAGTGATGGATTTGTTCTGAGCCTTACTTAAAGTTAAATTTACACAACCTCCCCCTGCTTGAAACAAGTTGGGAAAGGACTTCTTTTTACACATAATCACTGTAGCTTTAAATATCGTGAATTAATTTATTCTCTATTATGAGTCTGTACTTTCAAACATTTTGGACCAAATGGCCTCTGGTTTTTATTATTAGAATCAGACCAGCCCTGCATCTCCTCAAAAAGTTTGTTTTTGAACTTCAGACAAAAAAACAAGTCTTTGTTTTTCTATCTTGCTTGCAGACTTCCTGCTAAGTGAGGCGAAGTCCTTACCTCATGCAGACACATGAAATTAATGCTCATTTTCTAGACTTGCTCTCAGAAAGAGTGCAAATCCCTGGTATCTCCAAAACAG